TCCTCGGGATGGACTGAGGGTTCTGATAATAGCGCGGATCGATCATCCTGGATGGGGTCGTGGATGCCATTTTGAGACTCTCTTCAGAAACCCGTGATGACGCTACAGTGGGTCTACCTGATCGTTCAACATACGAAGCTTGTGTGAGAGAGAAGAGACAACAGCAACGTAGTGCTAGAAGGAGTAGTACTGAGAGAGCCCAAATACCTCTATTATACACTGCCAATTGAGCAGTTCATATTTATACCAGATACCACACTGCTGTTTCTGAAACTATCCTCTCCTGTGTTCAGTCATCTGCCTTCAAGCGGCCTGTCCTTTCATGTCACTGTGGATTGATCAGGTTGTCCATTAGGGAATGGGTCGTCGATTGAGTGTTGGTTGATGTGGGCATGAAAGTTAATATTTTGATGTCATTCTTCTTGAAGAAGTCGCCAGCACAGCTCCTTCCGGATAAAAATTGTCTGGAAGGTCGATCGTTCAGGATACCTAAGGCACCGTCGAAGGTGAGTTCCGCTTCAATGAAGACGACTGAAGGGTGACTGATGTGATTGTGAACTTAGGATTCCGTGAACTTTGTTACGGGAAATCCAATGTATGGTCCTTGGCCTGTCGCTATGGAGCAAGCCTTGTTTGGAATGGGCTGCTTTTGGTGCTCTGAGGCTCTCTTCGTGGACATGAAAGGGATCTTCTCCACACAAGTAGTGCCCTCCCCAACCCCTTCCTATGCAAAGTCGTTCAAGGGTATTCTCTTAGGTAGGATACGCCCAGGGTAAGACGCCTAACCCCACTTACGAGGAGGTATGCAGCGGGCAGACGAATCATTCGGAAGTCGTCCGAATAATATACAACCCGAAGACTATCACGTATAAGGACCTGCTCAAGGTGACACACAGATCTCTGAGGAGTAGTAGTATGATGATGTATAGAAAGGTCTTCTGGAGCGGTCATGACCCTACTGTCCCTATGGCACAAGGCAATGACTGTGGCTCGCAGTAAGTACATATGGCTGGGAGGTGGTCGAGTCCATCCTGGTCAGGTATAGGAGTGGTATATATTATTATAATGAGGAGCAGAAGGGCGAGGCACTGGAGAGCAAGTGAGCGGGTTAACAACTCTTCCGTTAGCATCTTCTCCTCATTCAGAGAGGAGTACCAAGCAGCTCTTTCCAAAGCCGGTATGAAGGAGAAAACTATAGTGACCGAGATAGAGCCGGCGGGAGAGTTCTATTATGCTGAGGACTATCACCAACAGTACGGTTCCACATCGCGTGTTACCACCCAGTGCATTCGATGCTAGATACAGTTCAAAGCCAGGCTCGAGGCAGTACTGTGGACTCAGACCGTTAGGTGTGGACTTCCCACGACTAAATGCTTCCTAATTCTGGTTGACGAGTCTCTGTTCTATTTTATATCGCTATTAGTAAACGGCTAGGAGCCTATTAATGACCTGAAGGCCACTAGCTCACACATGGGCTGCTTTTGTTAGCAGTTCCCTCATCCTCGATGTTGCGCTATTCCTGTCATTATCTACCGTCTCCCTTCCAAGCCTCTTATGTTCCCTGGAATGTCCCCTAGTTGCTGACGTCACTACAGGAGAGCCACGGCTCCCTCTCTAGCCCGACCCGAGCGGGCATTGAGATGGCTGATTCAGCGGAACATTCGAATGCTCCAGACGGTACTGGAGACGATGGTGAGGCTGGAGGGAGAAGCATCAAGACTCGTGATTCCCTCGAGTGAGTAAAAGCTCCTTGAGACTTCTGGTGGACTTCTCCCTCTAGTGGAATCATTCGTAGTCCTTCTCGAAGAACAGCTACCCATCATTGGTTCAGTCGACTCGGACAGGAAATGAAGTCGGTCATTACTTCAAGTGATTTCCGCAGAGACGTCCCCTATGCTCTCGGCATGCTCTGGGGCCCTAGAGAGTTGTTCGGTGACCGTCTCTTTGATGGTTGCCTATTCACCTATCTAGAGAAGGACACGTCGGTATTTTAGCTGAACACTGTTCAGTGAACAGCCTTGTACTCTCCGTTTTGGGACCTTATTCAGACCTTCTCCGCCAACAAAGGTGAACGCCATCGCTGGTAGACTTGATGCAGACGTGTTACCAATTCGATGAGCCCTGTATTGTGTTAATCAGTACACTGCCACAACGAGCAGGAGGTATAGACCAGACCATCACATTTCCCCTCACAAGATCTACTCTTCACCTTGCGGCTGTACCCGACGCACGGAATACTAGCAAGGGCACAGCGAACCACACGAGCTTCGCCTCTTGGTTCCATGATTCAGGTGGTCCCCACTGCACACACGAGTAGTTCTTTCTCGGCTTCAGACTCAGTGGAGAGGCTATTCTTCCCGAACGACTTAGTCATGTAGGCTATCGTTATTTTCTCACAGAGGTTCGCAACGGCTGCAGGTCGACTCACTCATTGTTATCTGAAGTACCACTAGCGTCGATGAACAAAGGACGTTGATGAAATCTCTGTTCAATGAAATCACTGTTCCCACCGTCATTATTCACTATAGGGTCCGCACAATCAATCTAGGCAACCCACTGCTCAATTTCACATACGTATTACAAAATAAGACGTGCCATCGAGGGCGCGGACTGAACCCAAGGATAGAAAGTTTGACTTTGGAAACGATACCAACTATCAATTGTCGAAGGAACATAGATGGTGCCCGCACGGCATCGTCATATTCTGACGCTACTTGATAAGAGACACTGAAACCTGAGTAGTGTTAGTATAAACAGTTAGTCTAAGCATCATCCAGAAG